AGTCATATTTTCTACTTTGTGTTACCTGTTTCTTGATACTCCTAGCATGCTTTTACAACTTTAGATTTTCCTCACTTTCAAGTTATCTACAGATCATAACTCCACAAAACCGTGGAGCACCCCAACTTCAGATGCAAAGCCTTTTCTCTTCCCTCCCTTCAACGTTCCTTCCCCTTGCCACTCCCCAGAATTTTTATACTTTTTATACTTCCCTTAATTTTGCGTTTGATATAATATGATTAATGTAGTGTGATGCCATGGAGTAAGGTGACGGTGGTTATAATAACCCAACTCGTGCAATCCACTCACCTCATTTAGTATAGACGTTACTTACAAAGGCAGTGCACTTATTTCTCTATAAGGCAAGCCTTAATTTTCACTACCACAAATATTCTTAAAATTTAGCTAAGTGGCCGATTATCCCCATATGACCAGTGAGGAAACTAGAGAGACGGATTTCTCTCTGCATCGTGAAGGTTTCTGATTGAAAGGAAAATCCCGCGTATGATTAACCTGTTTTTAACAAAAAAATGTCCACAAAATTTTTAGGAATTGGAATTAATTATATCACTTGTGTTCACTTGTAGAAGATTTTTATGTATTTGGTATGTGTGACTGTGCAGCCATCTAAAGACTATCTAACCTTTGTTTCTAACTCTTTTTACAGAGGTAAATCTCCAATATCTACTCCATGAGGCATGTCAATATGCGCTCAAAATCACCACAACTACCGTCATATAGTTAGCTCCAACATTTCCGCATTTAGAAGAACAATCGTAGGAAAATTTTCAAATACTCCTGACATTTGCCTATCTATGGAAATTATCATAACATTCGTCCTGGTATTGGAAGTCTGAGCATCACTTCCGCAGCGTCACTTTCAAAGTTAACCATTTGCCAAGTATGAGCACTGGTGAATTTTGTCTCTCATTATACTAATATCATTGGCCGCTGCCTAAGCTTTTACAGTTTTCGTGCTGATCAAGATCTCAAAAAATCAAAGATTTTGACGTAGTTC